AAAAAAAAAAAGTAAAAGCTGAATGGAAAAGACACATTAGTACCCAGCACAACTGTCCACATATGCATGTATTAAACACCCCTCCCTAGAAAGGGAGCCTGTAGGCCTAAACAGAGCAATGGTTCTGACACTACCTAGAGCATAGTGGTGGCTTAGAAAATAGCATGTGTGTTTAGTACATATTCATTTCGTCTTCGGAAAATACTTTATATTTATCAAAACCATTCCTCTTCACTGAGTACTCAGGAGCAAAAATCAAAAGATGCCTTAATTCTCCTCAGTGCACCACATGTTCTTGAAATAAATCCTGCACTGCTTTAAGCAGTAGAGAGAAGAACCCTTTTCACCACTTTCCCACTGCAACTTTCATGCCTTTAGAAAGTGTTTTTCAAAAAATAAAACTGTTAGAAATGGCAGCCGTGTTGAGTCTTGGCATGGAAAAATATCTTAAGTTCTTCAGAAAGCACCTCTCTCAGCTAGGCAATGTGTGCTCCTTAGCACAGCTGGAAGAAATCAGCCAAAATGTGGATCCTGATTCTTAGGAAGAAAAACGTGGTAGAAACATAAGAAATTTGCAATGTTTATCTTGTAGCTCAATTTACACTTCCTCATGAGCATCCTTCCCTTGACCTAATCTAGCCCCTTGTAATGTGGGGGTGGAAAGGGATGCCTTGTCAAGAAAAGCATTCCAGGTCATGGACAAGAGACAAGGAATAGAAAGCCCAGGAAAGTGTGGGCTGCCAGGATTTTTGTATCCTTGAAGGATACAAACAAGGAAGAGAATCCCAGGCAGGAGAACAGCCAGCACAAAGGCCTTGAGAGGAAATATTGGCATATTTGAGTCTTAAACGGAAAATGACCGATGAAAGAACTGTAGGATATTATCACCATCTCTCCAAAATCATCGTCAGAGCCAGTTAAGACAGTGGCACCGTTGCTGTGGGCAACCTGTTCCCACCGGCATACCCTGAAGAAAGACAGTGAACAGGTGTACTTAGTGAGAGAGCATTATGCTAGAATTATGCCTGGGTCTCTCCATTGGGGTAGCAAAGGGTGGGGTGAGCATGCATCAGACTTCAGGAAAGCAAAGGAAGCTCCGGGCAATCCCCATGCATTACTAAGACCCTCACTGCTATAGCCTTGTCTGGATATAGGAGGGTCTCTGCAAAGTTCCTTACTATAAGAAAACCAAATGAGAGAGGAGCAGCCTTATTTTTATAGGGAAAAAATGTGGATTGCAATAGAGACCTACTTGCAGTTGCACAATAAAGACTCTTTAATTTATGCTTTTGATTGAATCAACTAGGAAAAATTGCATTCTTAGAAACTTACACCCTGAAGGTCTAGCCTTTTATTTCTCATGCCTACCCACCATGAACTTCTCTCCTCATCCATTTAGATTGCCAGTACCTTCCTACTTTTTCACCAACTCCCCTAATCACATCTGGAAAGGCTCTGCTATCAGTCATTTATGCGTGGCTTAATTTGATTAATTAACTTCATTATACCACATACGAAATTTATTTATGCTAATGTGCAGCTTCAACTAGGCGTTTTAATTTTTAAGCTTTTTATTTCTAATTAGGAAAGAGGAGGATTTATTTCTCCAGGAAATTTATGGTATTATCAGGCAAGGTGTGTGTATTTGAGAGAGCAGAGAGGGCTCTTAAAATCAACTTAGTCCCAACCAGCTGGCCCTACAGGAGCCCTAGATCCTGAAGCCATCTCCCTTGGCTGCCATAATCAGTCTAATTCTGATAGTAGTTTAGGGGAACCAAGGAGGGCCTGGCTTCCCTCAAGGCCTGGGGGCCTGTTGCCTGTCCCTAGATGTGTGTGCACATGGGCCACGGCCACCAACTTCACACCCACATGCTCATCTTCTGATGTTTCCTTCCATGATCATATCCTGTAATGTGCTTCTCTCTCCTCTATTATGTCAGCCATAATAGTAATATTTCTAACATAGGCGTGTATAAGTAGACTGTATAATCTTTAGAAGAAATATTTACTTATAAGCCAGTCCATGGCTCATATGCAGTGCTGTGATTAAAGAGACCAATTGGGATTCAAATCCCAGCTCTGATGCTTACTAGCTAAGTAGCCTTGGGCAAACTCTGTCTGTCTCCTACTCTGCAAATGGAAAATGAACCTGGTGAAGTTGCTGTAAGAATAAAATGAGGTCATACAGCTAAAGCACCAATCATAGTGCCTGATGCAGAAAGAGCACCAGATAAATGTCAGCCATTAGTGTTGGTTGATACTGCTGTGTGCCGGGCATCATTTAAGGTGCCTGCTGTCCACTGTGAACCACACAGATGTGGCCTCCACTCTCCTGGAACTCTCATCCTCATGGGGGAGGCATAAATTAATGAAATACACAAACATGAATGTAATTACAAAGTATGGTACAAATTTTTTCCTCTGAAGGAAAAATATTATTTGCTATTAAAGAAAGTAACAGGGGAGCAGTTTTTTTTTTTTTGTCTTTTGTCTTTTTCCGTGTCCGGCAATGGATCGCAACCCTCAGT